ACCACTTTGACCAAGAAAGAAACAAGAAACTTTGTTTGTTTTTTAATATGGTATGTAAGACATAACACACCAAAAGGTCATCTCTAGTAATAGTAGAGAACAGAGCTATATTCATAAAACCTCCTTCTCTCAAGTGCTTTCTATGTGAGATTTGACATTAATGCAAATTCTTTGTTATGTGTATGTTAAGTTCTGTGCTTTTCTGGTAAATTTTTATTTTGCATACCTCCTGGTTATTAATAAAAGTCAGTTCTTCCAATTTAACCTCCTCATCGTGACTTACTCCTTTTTCCATAATTTATTTTATAAAGAGCTTCTATATTTAAAAAGCCATCATCTTGCAAAGACATTAATAATCAGATATTTGGGAAATAATACATGAGAAAATACTTAAATTTGGTCCTGAAATTATAAAACAAGGTATGCCATCTTGGCACACTTGATCTTTTTTGTGTTTATATCTCTCTGCCACTTTCGAAGGCCTTATCTTATTTTTGAGACGTTGTTAAGGAAAGAAAGTCACATCTTAATATTTTAGATAAGCGGTTCTCTTAAATTCCTGGTAAGGGGTTGAGGAGCAGAAACTGGAGTCAGCAATCCCTGACGGGCTACCCACACCTGACACCATATGTCCGTAGTGTGAGCAAGAAAATGTAGCACAGCCATTTCAAAGACCATCCATTACTTAATGTGAGATCTCATTATTTTTGGCCACCATTAATACCTTGAATACTTGTCAGACATCTGCCCATTCACTCATTGGCTTAGTCAACTATTCATTTTAAAACAGCTTGTTCCAGGCACTGTTGATCTCACAAGGCAGCATATTTCTGCCCACATTGACCTTAATAGATAAATAATAAGCGGATACATATATAATACTTTATTAAAGATCATAAGGAAATCAAACATGGTGAAGGAGTCAGAAATGCCGTTTAGATAAAGAAGCCAGTGAAGGCCATTCTTGAGGGGTAAGCAGACCACCTAAATGATGCAGAGAAAGAAACTACGCAAAGATGTTTGGGCCAAAGTCTTTCATGAGTAGAAGGCAAACGGAAGAACTCAGCGGTAGGAATGAGCTCGACTCAGTGTCGAGGAGACCACCGTGGCCAGCGCAAGGCAAAGGAATAGGCGTGAAAAGGGGTGAGGCAGGGACCAGATCATGGAAGCCTTTGTAGTCTGTGGTGAGAAGTTCAGATTTTAGAAGGTGTAATCCAGAGAGCAACCATATGCTATTGTTGTGGAAAATTGAGGCTCAGAGGCAGTCAACTTGCCCAGGTTCATGCACCTAGTGTCTTGCATAGGAGTGTTGGAATCCCCTTTTTTTGTCTAATCCAAATCCTATGCTCCTTGTACCATATCAAGTTGCCTTTCATTAACTAGTCTGGTGAATTTGGGTTTGTTGGTTTTTTGTTTTCAAGACAGGGTCTCACTCTGTCACCCAGGCTGGAGTGCAGTTGCACAATCACAGCTCACTGAAACCCAGAAATCCTGGCTTCAGGTGATCCTGAGTTAGCTAGGACTGCAGGTGCAGCCCACCCTCCGATTGATTTTATTTATTTTCGTTTTTGGTAGAGACAGGTCTTGCTATATTACCTAGGCTGGTCTCAAACTCCTGGCCTCAAGCGGTCCTCCTACCACAGTCTCCAAAGCGCTAGGATCACAGGCATGAATCCTCCCTCATGTGGCCTTTTGTTTTTTAGACGTGATCTTCACTTCAGTGGACCCAAATCAAATGCTCTCTATAGTAAAAAAAAGTAGATGGATACATATTTGAAAGGACTTCTATATAAAAAGGAGACAAAGGAAGCTGTGTATATACCATACTATATAATATTGAATACGTACAGTATTATGTTTTGGAATGATAATTTTGAATGCTTTTTTGATGTTTCAACATTTGAAACCCCAAATTAAAGAAGACAGCACATCATTAAAAAGCATACTGATTGAATAGCAATTAGGTACAAAAAAGAAAATACTTAAAACACACCAGGAGTAACCTATTACGTTTTATTCCTTGAACATACTTTATAATAATTTTATATTAAATCCTGTTGATATAAAACAGGATAGTATTGTTAACTCCGCACCATGCTGTTTAAAGAGGAGGGACGTTCATACTTTTATATAAAGTCTGATATACTTAGGTCTGTGAATGAAATGAAAATAGGGCGGTATTCTGAGGAAATAGCCTGTTATAACCTGAATGATAAGCTGACGGTCTAAATAGTTCCAATTACAGGGAAAAGTTATCTGCCTAAAAAGGCCATTAGAGGACATTTAGGGTAAGATGAAAAAATATTCTACTTTGAAGACAGAAAGTGATATTTAGACATTTGGGGATTCTATTCAGAATTTAAATTGCCTATGAAATTTAAATAAATATATTATTTTAAAACATTTCTTTTAAAATGTATATCTAAATCATTCTCTTGTGAAATAAGACATTAATGGTCGTATGTGCCATTTTTGTGGGTGTCTCTTCAGTGTGGTTATCAGGGTGCTTTCCCTCAACTTTACAATTAACATCTAAAATGGAAGCCACACTTTCAAAAAATACATTTGAAGGAAAAAAAAAATTAAACCAAGCAATAGCTATGGCTGAACCTAGGTGGTTTTTATATTTGAATTAAAGTAGAACAATAATTAAAAGACGTTATTCCGGTCGCGGTAGCTCACACCTTTAGTCCCAGCTCTTTGGGAGGCTGAGATGGGAGGATTGAGACCCGAAGTTCAAGACCAGCCTAGGCTACATAGCAAGGGTGAGGCTGAAGGATCATCTGAGCCTGAGAGGTTGAGATTACAGTGAGCTGGGGTCCTGCCACCACTGCCCTCCCGCCTGAGTAACAGAGTGAGACACTGACCAAAAAAAAAAAATTAAACAGATTTTGCTTATTTTTTGCCTAAGAAGAGTTATTAAGGCTCTTGTTCCTTGTGTGTCATATTGTAATTCGCATTTAATGAACATTAAGCATTCCTTTAAAAATCATAAATATGTCCTGAAACAATTCTTCCAGCATTGAATTTTTATTCTCAGCTTAGAATAACACATTACTATAATTTCCCCCAACTTAGGTGTAATTTCAGTAGAGAGGTGATCAAAGCCAAATCACACATAATTTGAATGAAGAGAATGGATACACTCATAATAGTTCATGATTGCAACAATAACCGCTTAACGTGATTATTGAACAGCAAAATGGTCTTGCTCTGATCCTATTTTTCCCCAAATAACAAAGTGATGGTATTTTTGGTAGGGCAGAAATTTACAAAGACCAAATATCTCTGCTATTCATAAGGTGGACTTGTTCCCCTTGAATCCGTTACTTACACATAAAACTGGATACACAATATATATCAGCTACTAACATTTTAGGACCGGGTCCTTTTCTCACTCTTTTTTGTTATTTCAGAACCAAGAACTTTATGTATCATAAGAGAATGAATGATTGAATAAATGAAAGGATAGATGAAATAATGTCACAATTGCTTTAATAGTTCACAGCCACTTGGATAGATTTAGAATCTGTAACATGCAGCAATCTATCACAGAAACAAAGAAGCGAGTACCGCATGTTCTGTCTTTTAAGCTGACCCTGAGCATTTACCATAATGCTATAAGGAAGGGATTGGCAGTAGCTGGAAACTGCCAAGGGAGGAGAGTCACATGACATCAGTAAGGGGACCTGACCTCAAACTAGGTGAAGTGGGGACCAAAGGGAGACCCAGACTTTGCCTGTATGGTGACTGCTCATGTTCCTAATCCTGAATTGTACCCCACATCTTCAAAATAAATATGTTTAAAAATAAGTAAAATTAGTAGTAAAGAAAATACTCATATTGGAAAGCATTAGCTCCTGCCTGAGTAGCATGATGTGAAGTTTATGCTTAAATTAATGTCGTGTTGTTTCTTTAGCTATAGTACCAACCTTGTAGATCAGTAATTAGTCATTTTTTAGAGCATCCCAAATAACCTTTCACTCAAATTATGTAGATTTTTGGTGATATGTGAGAAAAGAAAAAGTTATCCCAAGTTATTTGCAAGCTGTGCGTTCCCACTAATCCATAAGTGACTAGTAATGTCTGAGGTCTTTAAAACGTCCACTCTTATTGAGAATTGTGTGATGTCTTCCTGGCTCGCCTACTTTGATTTTTTTTTTTTTCCCCTCTGTAACTGATTGCCTCTAACACAATGTCTGGTACGCGATATATATTGTCTTTTATTCTTTCAGATTGCTTTTGGGTTTTGTTGTTTTTAGTGATTCTTGCTTTTAAACTATAAAATCCTAAAAGGCATGAACTAGTCAAAATTTTGCATAACCTCCAAACTCCTAGTGTAGTAAATATTGGTTACACGGACTAGAAGATGACTTTTCTTCTGCAGATTTTTTTTCTTTCCTTTTTTTTCTTTTTTGTTTTTTGCCTGAAGGCAGCTACTGCATAGATGGTATTTGGAAGTCCTAAAAGAAATAAGCGTAACACTTCCTAAAAGACTCTAAAATTGTAGATGAATGTTCCTAATGTTTAGTTTTGACTGCCTTATTTGGGACCCTACCTATTAAATTCCAAATTAGTATATGTATACTTAGTACCAGCATTATGAGCTGCATACTCTTGGCGGTTTCATGAACACTAGCTATGGAACAGGTGTTTCTTCCATTATTGCAGGGTCCTTTGGCAGGAAAACTTTAGGGTCTTTACGGACTACACATTTGAACAATCATTCTAGAAAATAGGAAGAATTCATTATCTAAAACTGCTGTTTTTTTGTTATTGTAAAGCATTTTTGGTTTTGGCACTAGGCAGCCTTGTTTCATGGGGATCTGGTTCTTTTCTGCCATATTTATACACAGCCCACTACATTTGCAACTATGCGTTGCTGGCAACATAAACTGCCCCGCCTCTCATTTGTAGCTAAAAGTAAGTGATGTGTCAACGATAAAAACTTGGAATTGTGTGTCTTAAGTAAGTGAACTTCCTTTTATGTTTTTTTGCAGGAAGAAGCACTGCATGGATTTCGAGTGAGTGATTATTTTGACTACATGGAAATTCTGGAGCAGAACTACCGACCAGTGGTGCTGCGAGATATGCACAACACCAAAGTGCAGAGCACATAAGTCAGGAGGTGCAGTGCTTGGATGGACGCTTTGCTTGTTTTCAGAGGCAACAAGGGGACTTGACTGTTTTCTGTCTGTATTTGTAACATCTTGTGCTTTGTGAGTATACACATTGTAAACCAATACTGAGAGGTTTTCAATATAGTAATATATTCAAGTAGGTATTAGCTCAATTTGTGAATTCATTTTTGTGTTTTTAGCTTGTAAGTTTGTTTTAGAATCAGATCTAGCTCACTTACAGTTTTTTGGTTTTGTCTTTTGAGTCAGTATCTCACTCTATCTCCCAGACTGGAGCACAGTGGCATGCTCACAGCCACTGCAGCCTGCTGGGTTCAGGCAATCCTTCTGCCTCAGTTTCCAAGTAGCTGGAACCACAGGCTCATACCACCATGACCACCTAATTTTTTTATTTATTGTAGAGATGAGGTTTCACCAAGTTGCCCAGGCTGGTCTTGAACCCATGTGCTCAGGCAATCCTCTTGCCTCTGCCTCCCAAAGTTCTGGGATGGCAGGCATGAGCCTCCGTGCCCAGCACTTAGCAGTTCTTATTCATGTTTACATCTTCTTCACCAGATGATTAAAATATTTTTTTTCCAGTGAGTTTGGAAAGAAGAAACAAGATTGTAAATAATTATCTGCCTAGTTACAGAGAGTCCATAGAGGCAAGGAAAAGACAAGTTATTTTGTGTGTTCTTACATTTGTGTATAAATAAAGGAAAATAGACAAAAGCACAGCCGCTTATTTTACACGTAGGCGAACAAATGATATTTATCAAGGCAAGTAGTAGGAAAACTTGTCCTGGGATTGTTTTTCTGAGGGCTGCTTTGATACCTATAACAATTTATAGTCTTTTGTTTGAAATGTAGTCTTTACATGGTTCATTTAAAAGATTGATTGGTTATTTCATACTTTTAAGCATTCTACTCTTATTTGTTATGCATTTTCCGTCAGTGATACATTTTGATTTGTAGTGAACTCGAAAACATTATGAGAGAGTGGATTTCAGAATGATTTTAAATGACTAACACTATGTTTTATTTTATTTAAATGGAAGTCTATTCCTCAGTACGATTAATACCATATGTGAGGGTCTAGTTTTTTAATATCATAATTGTCACATTTAACATATGAAAGGTAATATACAAATATATTAAACTTCATTTCCAGTCACCAATTTATTTCACAACTCTTTTTAAATTATAAAAATCATTTTGTCTTCTTTTCTTATATCTAAAATATAAGTCAACCATTAAAACCATTCCATCTCTGACGCTGCTTTTTCAATAAAACACTTCTTTTCAACCAAAAACGGATCGCCCACACGCTCATTTTTTCTTTTACCACGCTGAAACAACTGGTACTACACAGCTTTCAATTTTGTGATATTTAGGCTATTGCAGCATCAACCTTCCAAAATCAAGTTTTATGCTGTAAATGCCAACAGTAGCTTCTCAATAATGGAGTTCCTGAAGGGCACTGTGAAATTGAGAAAGGTAGTTTGAGCAAGTTGATGTGACACATCGCCTGCTTTTGCTCCAGCTGATGGGGATTAAGGGCGAGCGTCCTCTACAACTCAAAGCACCAAGCTTGTCTACTTTAAGACCTAATTTTGAGAAGCTGTTCCATGGAACCTGTAACACATGTTTATGGCTGCATTTCTTCCATTCTGTACTTGAGTTATTGTTATGGGTCCTATGAAATGTGTAGCTTTATTTCTTTGTGTAATCTCTTATGCAGCAGTTGGAAATACAAAGGGAGAAGAACAAACTGTAATTTAATTTTGGGCTATTCATTGGTGCTCGTCATTGGAAACTTAGGTAAGATCTAGATTCTAACCATTATGTTCTGAAAAAAGTGACTTTAGCTTAGAGCCAGAAGACTTTCATTTTCATTTGGTAAATGAGAAATGTCTTGAGAAGAATGACCTAGAAGCTTGTTTGGTGGAAGAAAATAAAAAATATGGCAGTCTGTGTAGCTACCATTAGAGTTATTTTTGCCCTTGTTTTTAAGAGTGTCCTTTAGAACAAGAATGCCCTGTCTTGCCCCTGGTTTTGTTTTTAATTATTTAAAGTATAAGTTCTTAGAACAGACTGTATTTCTAGTTTGTGGAGGAGTAACTGGTACATTCAACAGGATTCAATTATAATAAATTATATTTTATGAGATAATGTAAGCAGATTGGTGAAAAATTTCAGCACTCTTATATTAATCTTTGAATATCTTCTCATAGAATTTCACACTTGTAGTTATGTCTCCTCATGAATTATAGGCATCTAAAGAATCTGCGAAGGTAGTCTAAGCCCCAGAAGTTCACCTCAACTTTCTAACAGGGCTCGGCATAAATTTTTGATCAGTCAATAATGTGGTGCTCTAGTTTGGTTTTCCGATTTCTAGATGTTAAAGAAATGTCTTTGGTCATTCATTAAACAGTCATGTTTTAAGGACTACACATATAATAAAATATTTTTAATATTCAGGATAGGATAAATGAGATACAGCATCTTCACTGAAAGAGTTTGCAGTGTGTGTGGGAAGACCAATAATCCCCAAACCATGGAAATAGAGTGTTAAAGGTGACAGGTAAGAATTGACCTGTGGATGCAGTGACCTCGAAAAGAGCAGTTTCTACAAACTAGTGAGGGTAAAAGTTTGACTGGATTATACCAAGAGGAGAAGTTTTAGCGACTGCTCTTTCTAGCATGTTGCTGCAAACGTTAGGAGAATAGGGGCTGTAGCTAAAGAAAGAATGACACCCAAGCAAGCTTTGCTGTTCTGAGATGGGAAACAACAGGAGCATGTTTGTATTTGGAGGGAAGGGATGCATTCCAGAGGAAAGATTGACACTGGAGAGGAAGAGCTGGAGTGAATGCCACGAATAAATGAGACAGGAATGGAATTTGGTGAATAATTAGCAGAATTAGCCTTTGCTTGGAGCATGGACTCTTCATTCCAAGTATCAGAGGAGGACACACAATAAATGGACCAGACACAGGTTGGGCATTTCTGGAAGCTGTTGTTTTCTCAAGATATAGGAACCAAGGTCATCAGGTAGGAGTTGGGGTGGCAAAAACCTTTGGTGCTTTTTGGAGATGAGAGTATGTGAAACATTTGTCAAGAATGTTAAAGAAATGTCTTTGATGGGAGAGTGAATGAACTGGAAAAACATTGTATAATTGTGATTTAGTGGTCAGGAGAGGAGTTAGCAGAGTTGTATGTTTTTCTCCAGGCACCTTTTACAGTGCGGGGGCAGGCAAGGTAGGTTGAACTGAGTTGAACCAGGGTTTTGGTTTAGCCAAGAGAATGTCCTAAGCAAGGAAGGGCGCAGAGGTGTTGACTGTATATGCAAGGCAATTACTAGAATATAATATTGCAACTGTGGTGTCTAAGCTAGATTAGAAGTGGAGGCGAGAAGGAGGATATGATGCAGTCAGTGAAAGGCAACAGGGTCAGTGGATTGTAGGTGCTTCTGAATTGAAGGTTTCTTTGGTTTGGAGTACTCAAGAGAGAAAAGTGAAATGATTAGACCGGCCGGGCTCAGTGGCTCAGCCTGTAATCCCCCACCTTTGGGAGGCTGAGGTGAGTGGATTGCCTGAGCCCGCGGGTTCGAGACCCACCTGGGCAACTTGGCGAGACCTCATCTCTACAGTAAATAAATGAGGTGGGCGTGGTAGCACATTGTAGTTCCAGCTACTTGGAAGACTGAGGCGGAAGGATCGCCGGAGCCCAGCAGGTTGAGGCTGCAGTGGCCAGGAGTGGCCACTGCACTCCAGTTTGGGTGACAGAGTGAAACTCCAACTCAAAAAGAAAAGAAATGATTAGACCTACCAGTTGTTAAGTGAAATGCTTAAAATTGAGGAGGAGTTGAATGTGAGAGTGAATTACTAGGGGAAAAAGAGAGGCGACATTACTGCAGGAAAGGAAGTCAAGGAGCTGGGATTTCAGTTTGGAAAGAATCATTTTTTTTTTTTATTGAAGTTACCAAAAATTTGACAAGGAAGTGTTTTGTATACCTTGAAAAAGAACCCAAAGCTAAAATCTTCAACGATTAATCTAGAATGAAAAAATTGACAAGAGGATATCTAAGATACAAAAATAGATGAAAATCAAAGACAGTGGTACAGTTGTTATTTTTCACATAATATCTGATTTGTTTAATGGTACAGTCTTTATTTTCATACTGTGTCTAATGTGTTAATAAAACATCTAATTTCTTTGAGACTTTTAGCTGAGTAAGCATTTTTTTATACAAAAAGCACAAACCATAGAAGGAAAAAATGATACATTTTTATACACTTCTTCAAAATTTAAAAAGAAAAAAAAGCTCTTCAAAACACACTTTCAAGCCAGGCATAGTAGCTTACACCTATAATCCCAGTACTCTGGAAGGCTGAAGTGAAAGGATCACTTGAACTCAGGGGTTCAAGACCAATCTAGACAATATAGTGAAACCTGGTCTCTACAAGAAATTAAAAATATTTAGTTGAGCATGGTGGCACATGCCTGTAGTCCTAGCTACTCAGGAGGCTGAGGCTAGAGGATCACATGAGCCCAGGAGTTCAAGGCTGTGGTGAGCCACGATTGTGCCGCTGCACTCCAGGCTGAGGTTATAGAGTGAGATCCTCTTGAAACTTGAAAAACAAAACAGCCAAAAAAAAGCACTTCCAAATAAATGAAAAAATAAGCCACAGTAGAATAGATTTGCTAATCATATCTGACAAAGGACCTTATATTCAGGTTATATAAAACTTCTAACTACTCAATAATACAGTGAACAAATCAATGATAAAATGGGCAAAATATTTGAACAGACCAACCAAGAAAATATACACAGTTGACAAGTACAGAAAAAGATGCTTATCCCCATTATTTTAGAGAAATGCAAATTAAAACCACAGGGAGATAATCACGACATATTCACTAAAATGTCTAAAACTAAAGCATGTACCATGAAGCAAAACAAAAACCTGGTTGCAAGGGTTAGCAAGGAAGTGGAGCAACTGGAACCCACCGTCTCTTGTAGGAATGGAAAGTACAGTGGACATTTGGGAGTTTGGGTTTTGTTTTGTTTTTCAGTTAAGCTTGCACATGACACACTCCAGGACTCAGATGGGACTCAGGAATACCCTATTCTAGGTGTTTCCTCAAAAGAAAATATATGTCCATACAGAGAATTGAAGATGAATGATATTTATGACTTTATTCATAATAGCCTCAGACTGGAAAGGAATCCACATTTCTTTCAACTGAATAAAGGATGAAAGAATTGTGGTTCAGCTATATAAAATGGACTTGAATTCAGCAAT